GTAAGACATTTGCTTTTCGCTTATTAATCTGATTTTTAACAAAAACAAATCATGTTTTTTTTTCGTTTTGTTTTTTTCTATGCGGTCGGTTGCATTAATGGTGTACTCGTGATTACAGATGTTGAATGTTGTTGTTGATATTGTTTAGAAACACATCGAATATATTTTAATGCTAAATTAACAGCATGTTGTCGAGCTAAATCAAATGTTTCACCATAACCATGGAAGACAGATACAGGCATGAGACGAACTTCAAGTAATAATTCAATAGATCCTTTAAGAAGAAAAAAAAAATCAATTGAATTATTAATTTGAAAAAGAGAGAGAGAGAGAGAGAGAGAGAGAGAGAGAGAGAGAGAGAGAGAAATATTTTAACCTTCGTTAATCGTTGATAATTGAATAAATTCATATGTAAAATTTTGTTCTTGTGCAAGATATTGAAATATTTCATATGATTGCGATAATTCTTGATGAAAATCATCAGAAAGTAATTTCTTTATATAAGGTAAATCACTATTTTTCATTATATGAAATGAGTTTTTATCATACAAACGATTTGATCGAGCCGAACCGGTACCACGTATAGTATTTGCATCAAGTAGCTAAAAAGAAATTTTTGAAGATAAATTCACCCAAAAAAAAAACTCTATATATAGAATGATCCATAAGTAACTAGATGATAAGAAAAATTCTGTTTCCAGTCGACTTTAATCAATTGGGCTGATTTTTTTCTCAGTAGTGTAGAACTATCAATATTGATTGATCAAAAGTATGTCATCCTACGATCTCAACCATTTTTAAGATTAGGCATGTGAAGATTTATATACTACCTTCAAATGTAGATCAATGAGAGTAGCCGAGTCTCGTTTGCTTGAGTTAGAGAGGAGTTATGATCTATGACAGTTCTTCTCACGCTGAGTCTTATATCTCATGAAAGGAAGAAGAAGCTTATGACATACCGAACCTATCATTATGGAGTCCTTTACTACGGCTATTGACAGTATGAGTTTCATCTAAGCGTTCAACAACTGCGAATATTGTGCATAAAGAAAAATTAATCAGGTTGTAATCTCATTTCCTTATTCAGTTATATAATTTACAATGAATAGAGCTACTATGCATCAGAACTCTTCTTTAACTCAAGCGCTCGAGGTCGAACTGGTCTCGTTAGCCTACATTTCTAAGGTAGTACATATGCTAAAAATTTCCGATGAACTAAGATAACACGGGGTGGGGGAAGGTACTTTCGGGTATTAGTTCAAAACAGTGTTCATTGATGGTTTTCGTGTGAAAAAAAAGCTTTGAAAAGTCCTCTACCACCGAGAAACATACCAGCTCGATTGCTTAAAGCAGGTTGAAGATATTCAGGGTTTCCTATCGTCTAGTTATTTATGGACCTCCTTGTATTTTGAAACTTACACTTGAATCATTAGGTTTACGTCGTGATCGACGATATTTCGAATGAGATTGCGAATAATCCAGATCATTCTATAAATTAGAATACATATAGAAAAAAACAAAAAAAATGTTTGTCAATGTAATTTTGCTCTATGAGATTATATCTCATTATTCGAAAAGATTGACTTTTCAATTTGGATATTTTTAAATTAAATTTATCAATACAATACTAACCTGTTCTTCAGTACGATTAAGTAAAGCTTTCTTTTCTTCAGGTCCAAGATTTTCTAATATATTCAATAAATTTGTAGCTGCTTGACGTTTAGCTATCTTTTTTGATAGACCATTACCTATACAATAAAATTGATAAATCATTAAAAAAATGTCTTATAAATCAATCAATTTAACCTTCAGCTGTATAAGTAGCAACTTTAGCTTGACATGAATAAATTTTTGAATTAGGTACAGAAGAATTTTCTTGATCGAAAAATTCATATTCAGGTGGTCGAATCCAATTTTTTTGTGTTAATTCTTGAAGTTTACCTATTGGATTACTTTTTTCACCATTATTCATTGGATCATCACTCGTATTACTTGTTTGTAATGGTTTTATCAAACTATATAATATTAATTTAAATAAAGAAAATAAAAATATTTAAAAATTAAAAACAAAACAATTTATTTATTTACAAATATTGTTCAATAGTTTTAACTAATGGACTATCAGTTAATTTTAATTTAGCATAACATTGTTCAATCATACACAATGCAGCTTTATGTTTAGCACGCTTTTTACTTGAACCTAAACAAAAAACAAAAAACAAAAAAACATTTTTATTGAGAATATTATTATTATTATTATTTTTTGTTTTCGAATGTTAAAATTAATAAATTTACCTTTACCAAAAGCAATCATATCATCGACAACAACTCGATAGAGAAATGCTGGTTCATTTGATGTACATTGTGCTTCACTGGGACATAGACTATAAGTTGGTGTTGCATGAATACGAAAACAGATTTCTTGTAAAAAACTAATCGGTGTTTTTAAAGCTAAATCAGTTATAGGCTTATCATGTATAGTACCAACGTTAGTAATCGATTGTGTTTGTGTAGATAATAATGGTATAGATGGTTCATTATTATCAGATTTTATTGATAATGAATTCAATAACGTATCAGGTAAATTCATCTAAAAAAATATGTATTTATTATTTGTTTTTATAACAATCACTGTATTTGTTCTTCTTTTCATAGCAAATTTGACATTAAAATAAATAGAGGAATATTATTAAGACGAACGAAGTAAACAGAAAAGAAAAGAAAAGAAAATTCGAAAATCTCAATCTATTGAGTCGGTAAATCATTATTAGCGAAATTAGCTGACATAGTTTCAGTTTGAAATAAAGATAAATCTAAATATTTTTTTTCATATGCATGCCATTCATCAGGTACAACAGGAAAATATTGATCCATTCGACGTAAAAATCTTCTTCTATAATGTTCAGGTGATATAACTGTTGGTGATTGTCCTTGACCACCCATTGATTTAACAATTGTTTCAATTTTTTTATCCCATGTATATGTTCTTATATAATCAATAATACCAACAGAAACAATTGATTGTTGTTCATCATCATTATTATTATTATGACATGATACTAATAATGAATAATCAACAATACCATGTTTAGCTAAAAAATATGTATCAGCATATAATGCTTTCATTAATGTCCATTTTGTATGTAAACGTACATAAAATGGATTATCTTGTGTTTGTGTTAAAAAATTTTCATCTAATAAAACAGCATTTGTTTGTGTATCATCAACATTAACTAAACGATTTCTCATTGAACCTTTTAAATCATATATAATTGATGGTATTACTGAACTTTGATTATTTAATAAATTTTCTAAAACTAATATATCACGTTTAAAATTTTCACCTGTTGTATTATGACGATATTGTATATGGTAAATACCAAGAATTTTTGTTAATGTTGTTGGACGATTATATTTTATTGTTTTTGTTATATAATCAATATATGATGGTGCAAATGTTGAAAATGATAATGATTCTTTTTGATTAAGATCTTTTAATACAAAATAATCATCATATGTTTGCCAAAATTCTGATTTTGATTTTCCACCACGTGGTTGCCATTTTTTACAATGTGATAATGAACGTATATATGGTGTTTGATCATTATTTGAAAATATAATTTGACGTAATAAATGAAATTCAGCTGCATAAAAAATTTTAACAACAAATTTTGTTGATGAATCATGAAAATGTAATTCAATATGTTGATGATCATCATCTAATAAATTATTATTGCTATTATTATTATTATTATTATTATTATTATTATTATCATTATCATCATTTTGTTGTTGTATATCATTAGATTTATTTTCTTGATTTGTTTCATTAATTAATAAAATTTCTTCATTTAAACGTTGTTCATATTCAGACATTGATAATGCATGTGCAATTATTGAACTTAATTCACGATGATTAACAATATATTTACCAGATAATTGTAAATGTTCATCATCATTAAATGGAGATTTTAATGGTATAAAATCATTTTCTGAATTAGGTAAAAATGTGGAAAGAAATTTTAATACACCACTACGTCGTGATGTTTCATCATCATTTGATGATATTATTTTTGGACCATTTTCAATATTATTTTCATCATTATCAATTGTTACTGATTGTTGTGTTGAAGATACAGATAATGATTCCGCTAGATTTGATATATCAGATTCAGTTTGAATAGAATTTGATGTTTCATTAGTTGTTTCACCTGATGTAAGTGCTTTAATTGGTACTTTTTTTGATGCTTCACGTTGTTGTTTTTCATATTTTTTTATTATTTGTACAAGTTCAAGAAGTGTTGTATTCCAATTATGAACTATTTTTGTTATGAATTTTTTTGCTTCAACTATTTGATCATCAATACAAACATAACTAACTGCATCTAAATATAAAGTAGGTTGACAAAATTATAGGGATAGTGTTTTTTTGTGAAATTTTCTTATTTATTTTTAATAAATTTTCAGTATGATGTAGTTAGACGAAGACTAGAGAAAGCTGAAGAGGGCATATCCTAATGAGCTATAAATATTCATAGAAAATTTTGGACAAACACCGAATCTCGACTTGAGACTTTGCACAGACATAATCTTTGACATCACTCATATACACTGGCGGATTCAATGTTTTTATTTCAGGATCAGAACAAACTTTCACAATGAACTACTCTCGTTAAGATCTGTCTGTACGTAAAGTTCCAAGTCGAAATTCGAAAATCAGTTTTCTTAGCGTTTTTTAGTGGTAACGATAGGTTTGGGTTAAAAAGTACGGTCAAAATGCAGTATCTACGCAGTAATAAACGAAGGATTCAAACTCTTCTATGAGTATTTATAGCTCATTAGGATCTACATGATGGACATAGTCTCTACTCAAAAAAGATTAATTAGATAGGAGACTTCCCTTGCCAGCTCTCCTATACAAACTTAGAGGATCTTCACTCTCTCTATAGACATGGCCAGTGGATTAAGTTCACTCCGCTACTTATAATTTTTTTCTGGCAATATCATTACAGTAAGTCATAAGTACAACTAAACAATCGTCAATCTTATTTGGTCATCAAGGGATTATTATGCAATTAAAACATAATCATATTTCTATAAGAACTTATTAATAACTTATATTTAATCTTGACGTATGTGTAAAGCTACTTCCAAATCTTATCAAATCGAATTTCTATTCATTTACCTAATTCTCGTTTTTGTTCACCACCATTTCCAGCAGTCATTTTTAATTGAATTTCATCCATTAATGAACGAAATGTTTGTTGTTCTAATCTTTCTTGTGCTAAATATTGATCAATTTTTGATATAAATGAATCTGGTACTAAATTTAAATTTTTAAATTCAATTAAACGTTCAACTATTGTTGAAAATATATTATAACCATTAACAGATAAACTTTTTGTTGATTCAATATAATAATCACGATCATATACAAATGGTTTAAGTGTTAAATTTAATTTTGGTAAATAAAATTCTTTTAATTTTATTTGAAATAAACGAAATGATGCTATAAATTGTTGAGAATGAAAATAATGATAATGATCACGAAATAAATGATGTTGACATGGACGTGTTGATGATACAGAAAATGATTCAAGATGAAATAATAATTCAAGAAATTTTGTAAATGATAATGACCATGTACGAGGTGACATTAAACGTTTTGCTGATGACTACAGTAAATTAAAATTTTACATTATTAATTTTTATATAAATATTCAATGTAAAAGTAAATACACAACATCTCGATTACTAAGTTTTTTTTTCTCTTTCGAATTCTTTATAATTTATTTTTATAATAGGTTCTTCAACGGAATGGTGCAACATAAAAGAGAAGCATCTTTAAAAGAAATTCGCAATTTTCGTGAGACTTAGCAAAACAATACAAAATATTAGTCAGTATATCTCTTTGATAAATAGCTTTCGGAATGAATATTTTTTTCTGTCTCATGTCATTTAAGAATATATGACAAATATATATCATACATTGTTTGAAAGAGGAGAAAATTTTCTATCGATTGATTTAAAGAATGCTCATTTCGAATTTTTTTTGTTCTATTGTGTCGTTTCATTTATAAACGTATTGCAAAAATTAATTATACAGAGCGGTTCAAACTCATCCAATAGTTTTTGTTTCGCGAATAAATTTTAATAAAAACAGAATAGAGAGTTCTCGGCATTACATGACGACCTAATTGTCAGTGAGTGGCCTTCAAAAAATTATTGATAACTCTACACAGATGATATAGAATTTAATTCAATAGATCACGATAAAAATTTTAGAGTAGAAAATCGATCGTGAGCAAGCGAATCTGGCGCATATTTTAAAATTAAACTTCTTTATCATCTTCATAGAGTTATCAATATTTTTCTGAAGCCCACTTATTGACAATTCAATCATCATGCAATGATATGTGTTCTTCCTAATGATGAAATCCACAACTCTCTATCATGTTCCTATCAAAAGTTATTCGCAAACTAAGACTGTCGAGTGACTTTTGAACCATCAAATATATGATTCGAAAAAGGAGAAAAAAATAACTAAATCTTTATTCTATATTATATTCGAAATTCTTAAATAAAAATTTCAACATACTTCTCGACAATGTTCACAATAACTCCACATAT